GTCCCTCCAAGGCAACAGCTGTGCCAGCATATAACCCTGTGAGAGGGCTGTGGGAAAAATTCAGCTGATACGTTTGTATCCGGCTCCTGGCTATGCATGTGATGCAAACACACCTAGGCTGTTGCTAATTCAGACTTTACTACCTGCTGACCATCTCCCATGAACTAGCACAGCCTGGAACTCGGAAGGAACTCGGCCACAATCGCTCTGGGTGCATTCACATACCTGTGTCATGTTCTTTGCAGCAAACCAAAACAACTATTGCAGTTACTGGATTACTATTTTTCCTGTTTTGCAAGAATGTTTAATTCCTAAATCCCTCATTCAGTGTTTTTGGATTTTACATGCTTCTAGCGGTTTCTTTTTTCCACCACAGGTGCACCTGAAAAATAAACCTGTCATGATTTTCAGCATTTCTTCTATACCACGATTTTGGATTTTTCAGTAAGCTGTAGAACAAATCCTCCTATGAGCATTTCTATGTTAAGGAACCACTTAATGTCCCCTCAGGTCTTTTGTCACCTCTCTTGCAGAAGAAATCCTCTAGATAACCTTTGTAACTCTTTGTGATGCCAGCTTTCTTGGTGCTTGCAAACTGAAGAATATGAAGCATAGGTGTGTCCTGGAAAGAGATGAGAAAAAACAGTGTCTATATTGCTGGCAAATGTTCTCCCTGCTTATATTCACTTTGCATACAAATAAACAAAAATGTAATATTTTATTAGGAATCCAGTGGATAGAATAATGGACTGTAACTCAGCAGAGTTCGGTTCACAGCTCTGCCGTTGGCTTATTGGGTAAGTCATTTGTATCATCACCATACAGCCTGGAATAATGGCAATTTCCTGGTAACACAATACAAGCTTTGAAAAGGAAAAATATTATGCAGAAGGAATAATAATAAAATCCCTCTAATGATAATAAAATTTTATGTTTTATGTATATGTTTATGTTGTGCACAATGGAATGAACCATATTCTCTTCTGCCTTATGCTTCACCAGTGGTGCTTCTAACTGGTTTCCATTTGAAGGGCTACATATATTAATTTTAGATGTGCCTTCAGATAGAGGTGTGATTTTCCACTGAAAGTGATAGCATTTCATTGTAGTAACACTGGGCAATATTTTCTGCATCTTTATTTCTGTTGATAAGCCATAAAGAACTTAACACTAAGTTTGAACACCCACCATTTAGGGTGATGGTGGGGAGGGTTTTTTTTTATTTGTGAACTGAGTAAATACGTTGCACAGACTCTTGGGCTGTAAAGACTGCGTGTGATTCCCTGAAATTAATTTGCATAAAGTAGTAATTTGTGTCTGCATTTGCTCTTTAATTCTTCTCTGTCTCTATGGGTGACAAAGAACATTTATTTTGCCATATTTTATGAAATGTAAATAATAGATACATTCAGGACTAGATCCTGAATACCTCAGCTGGTAGACACCAATGTACTTTGAGAGGAAGCAGGGTTGCTTAGGCTGATGATCTACCCCCCCACACCAGTTCTAAATGCCAGTCTTGCAGTGCATTATACAAATGTTCACCATGGTTTGTCAGCAGCAAAGTGTCACCCAACAGTACACACTACCTTCTATCAGCCATTACTTTTCTGCCATCATCATCATCAACTGCAGCTTAGGAGAATCTGTGCGTTTCTTTCCTTCTGAACAATTTCCATTCAAATAATTGACATGCTTTTATGGTAATTTGGTCTCTGCTATTTGTTATTGCAGCATTTCTCAAAGAAAAATGCAAAACTAATGCCCTAGAACAAAAACATTCAGCCAAATTACTTACCAGTAATCCGAGGAATCATGGATAAATCCAATACTCAAGTGACTTCTCATTTGGAACTTTACACAGTTTTCACCCAAGTGTTGAGATTTGTTGGGGTTTTCTGGTTTTAGTGGTTTTTTGTTTTCTTTTTTTTTTTTTTTTTTTTTTTTTTTTTTTTTTTTTTTGTTTTGTTTTTTTTTGTTTAGTTTGGTTTGGTTTGGGTTTTTTTGTGGATGAAGGGGTTGTTTGGTTTTTAAAAGGTAATATTGATGCTCTCTATCCTATAGCACCTTTATATCTCTTCTGAAAACTGTATCTGCCAGCACCATCACTCCATCCTAAAGCTTTCACTACTAACACCAGCTAAAAGTATTTGAAGGGGCTGTTTCCACTTGTTTGGTGCATTTGAATTTCTGGGCTGCTATTGTTTTTTCAGAGGAAAGATGCAGCTAAAGCATCACAGATGTTGCTCCGCTGGTTTAAGCAGGGTCATTGCATGGAAGGCTTTTGTGTTTGATAAGTGAACATATTTTGAATTTCTCTACTTTCATTTAGAAGTTTATTGAGTAAGTGCATTCTCGTGGCTGAGACGACAGGGACGACATAGTACACAGGGGGAAACATTAGCTCTCTTTTAACCTCCTGAAAGTGGAAGTAATCTGTGAAGCAATGAAGTGATGAAAGCACAGGTTGAATATTTTCATTGCTGCCTAAACCTTAGGGAAGTTCAATGACAACACTTTGTATAGTGTGCTCACAGTGCTTGCACAAGCAGCTTCCACACAATGAGAGACAGAGCTGGAATAAGTGTGCTCTTGTGAAAGTGCTGATTGCATCAACAGGTCCTGCCTCAGTGAGGAAGAAGTAAACTCACCTTCCAAACCCCATATTTTGGTTACTAAGGTTTTTCAGTACTTCTGGTGCTCCAGGACTGCTGTGAATGAAAGAGGACTCGGTATTGTTAGTGCTTTGAACTCTGTATGCTCCTTCTCCATCTCTGTGCTGGGTTGGAAGGAAGGATTTACATCTTGAAACCTTTTATAGGTGTCACACTGAACATTTCACTCTGGTGATGCCTATGCGGAGGCAGCTTCATTTAGTAAATTGAGCCTAGATCATCTAGTAGTAAATGATTCCAGCATGAAATGAGGTGTTGATCTAAATCCAGATTTTTGTGAAAAATACATGATTAGTTGTGTTCTCGGCACAGAGGTGAAGACTGGCAATGATCCCTGTAGGATGTGGATTTCAGAAATGGGTGAGGCTGGGTGGGACATCTGTGCAATTCTGCTTGTTTGATGAAGGATGAGTAGAGTATTATGAGCTAAGATAGTATTATTCTCTCTTTTTTTTTTGCACAAACAACAAACTATTTGGTCTAACTAAAATACCAGTGTGGCTAATCCTGCCTTCTTAACTATTCTCAAGGAGTGAATGCCTCAACAGTAAATTTTGATGGAAGCTATTAAAGATGACAAAAATATCTTTATATGAAAGGAAGCGTAGGGCAATCTGGCTGCAGAGTTCAGAACATTCAGAATTCCATGGTTATTGTAGTATAATACCATAGTCAATTATATTTCTTATTTTACATTTTTCTTTGTCTCTTTCTCACACAAACCTAGACTATGAATTCATAATGTTAATGAAATGTGTTGTGATGTTCCTGTAGGCTGCTGTGGGAAAATAATTACAGTATGAGGAAGGTGATTCATGATGTAGTCCTGAGTCTCTAAAGTAGGACTTTATGACTGATTGGGATATGAGAAAAATGGACTGAAATGTCTCAAAAAACCTTCAAAACCCCTGACAGATCAAACTACAGTCACTGCAAGGATTAGCTGTCTCAACCCAATAGACATTTCTGCAAGAAGTTTTAGTGATTTGTACTTGAAGCCTTTTAGTCACCCAAAACCTGGGGTTTTTTTTGTGGTGTGTTTCTGACAACTTCTCATCCCCTTCTTCAACCAAGCAGGTAACTAAAGCCTGAGCCTTCTCATGAGAAAAAGAACTGGCTGACAGCATGCTCTCTCCAATGCATGCATCCTGCTCAACACTGAGGATCATGAGTAATATGATGCCAAGGCTGGTCTCAAAATCCAGACCTATGGCTGGCAAGTGTGGTGTTTTTATTTCTCCTTCTCATTCAAACCTAGAACAAATGCAGAAACCTTTTAAGTTTCTCTGTTGTTATTCACAGTTCTCTTTGTGACTGCTGAAGAAAGAAATGTATAAAGCTATTTAAGAAATATGTGTAGACATGAAAGTGCTTTAAAAGTGTATAAAATACAGCGCAAGTGTGTCTGTTGCTTCTTCTCCAGTCATATGCTACACTTTAAAAAGCCAGTATGTTTTCTTCCACAAAAAGATCTTTATATTTCTGAACTTTCAGAAGCCTTAATCAACATAAATAACAGTCTGAGCATGATGACATCATATTCAGTCCTAGAGTTGTGCATCTCAGCTGCTTAGTCGTTTAAATTGGTGGAAATAAGCATAGCAGTTAGAAGTTTTCAAAGGTCAAAGGAGCTACTGTCTTTTCAGCTTTGAATCAGCTGAGAGACTCCAGTTTCTTGGAAATATAATGCCAAGGCTGCATCTCTGCGTCTCTTTTCCTCCCTCCACCCCCTTTGAAGCACTATGGTAATTAGTTTAAAGGGCAAATCACACCACACTCAGTAGAAGAATCCTTTTACAGTGCAAGTTCCTTTTTATTTTCTCTTTCGTTTGAAACTAAAGAGGAGTTTTAGCCCACATTGTGTACTGAGATATTTGACCAAATGTTCTTAACCAAATGCCAAAAAGCTGTTCACGGGTTTTCAATAACATTAATACTTTTCAGTACAAATATGACAAGTTCTTTTACCATTCTCTCTGAAGAGAAATAAGAGAAAAAGTGTTCCTTAGAGAGCAATTTGTGAGAAAATTAAAATCAAAATGAAAGCAAGAGTCTTTTAAAAACTTAATTTTAAATGTGATTTGTCGTCTTCTTTATGAAAGTGACAGCATGATTTCTGTGAGGAAGCCACCTCTCACCTAGGCTTGCCATGGAAAAACATTCTTTTTTATTTTTTTTTACTGTCAGATGCACTGTTCAGTCAAAAGTTATGATTAGAATCTGTACCAAATTACCTGTATAACAGGACTCTACAGTGTTTTAGCAACTGGTATTCCTTTAATGTCTTTACGAATGACTCTTTGTGTTGTTTCCATGTATTTCTAGCCGCCATTCTGCTGCTGAAGTGAAACTGTACCGGCAGGTTGTGGAGCATTTCCATTTTGTGGCATACACAGTCTTTTCAGAGCTGGGAGCCACACACTGGCGCTCCAGGGACTTCTGGCTGCTCGCACTGCTAGTAGTTTTGCTTTGGTTCGTGAGACTTTACCTGCATTATTTGAGCCAATGGCTCTTCCTTCAGACCATCTCAGTACCTGTTACAAAGTAAGTCCTGCTAAACTCTTTTCTCAGTCAGAATATTACTCCAAATAACTTGATTCAAAGCAGTTCCTTTGAGCTGTGAAGAGAATCAATGACTAAGACTTATGCTAAGGGCTCTACATGAAAGCCCGGATAGGAGCCTCTGCAGAGACTAAGATCAAGGACTGCATCCAGATTCTAGATGATCTGATATGCAAATGTGACCCTAGGAGGTCACATTTACATATCAGGTAGAGGTGTTAGTAATGTAAACTTTAAACCCAGAACACAATGTGTCCATCTGTGTGTCCTGTGTCAATGCCTACCTCTCTTCTTTCTGAGATACCTAGCAGGTGATGTATCTTCCAGAAGAATCATTTATCATTTTGGATAAAGTATTTCAAAATGCCTAAGAAGTGCACAAAACTGAAGAAGCATTCAAACCATATTTCATATTACTGAAGTGATCTATGAGTAAAATACTTCTAAGAATTTAACTTTGATATATCAGTTTTACTGTGAGTACTACAATGGGTTGACTTATTTTAACTCTATGATACATAGACTTTAGCTCAGGAATTAGAGCTCCCTAGAGAGTTGCAGGAAAATCATTGCTTGTCACTACTTACATGAAAAAAAGGTGGAAAACAAGTCCACTAGTGATATATACCTGATTCTCTACATATTGCTGTGGGGTAGAGAATGGGTTTACAGAATAAGAAACTTTAATCGTGCTTAGGAAAGGGACGATTTCTCCAATAGAAACTTTTTTTTATTTGTTCACTTTAAGGCATCGCGCAAACCTGAATCAGTCAGTAGGAACCAGTGGCGTACAACTTTCCAACCTATATCTGCTGTGATAGTGGGATTGATTATTGGATAAAATTTGTACTGAGTGGACTCTGGACAGTGCTGGGTATTGTTAAGGTGGTCTTCTAGATCTTAATGCAAAGCCAACCATCTCTCACTTCTGTCCTTGCACATCCCATGTGTGCTCAGCCAGCTGGTGTTAAAACTTCTGGGAGGCCAAGCATCGAGAATCTGTGAAAACAAAGGAAACTCAGCAGAAGGAATCAATGCATGAGAGAGTGGTGGTCATGTTCAAAGCCACTAGTCACAGCTGTCCCAGGCAGTCAGCTAGATAATGTATAATGTTCTCAAGCCAAAATGCCCTGGATCAGCATCCCAGTCTGTAGCTGTGTGCCTGAACAACATAAGACTGAGCTGAGCACTCTCTGCTCCTAACAAATATAGTGGTAACACTCACAAGTCAGAACCAAAGTGAGAATCAAACCACTTTACGTTTAGCTAGGAACAGAATTTAAGCCACTTCAACTGGATTGAAATTTTTGCCTTAAATTACAGCTTCTGTATGTAGCTCACATGGCCATGCAGTTCATGTCTCTTACAGTGCCAGCAAATTTCTCATTGTATGAGCTTTGCAAATCTCGTGATCTCATGGTGGCGAGAGGAACATTTCCAACCACATTAGGCATGCTAAAAGCTATGTCTTCCATATCAGATTTTCTACTTTATGCAATGCCCAAAGGTGCTGCAGTATGCAGATACAGGTAAGCTTCTGGGGCCTGTGCTCATGATGGTGCTTCTGGGAGGTAACATCTTTGTATAGCCTTTCCTGCACAGTCCCAAGGGTCTGGAGGTGCACCTAGTGAACTGAGAGTCAGAGGGGGTCAAAGGATACAGAGGCAGGAGGAGAAAGTTTCTTTTTTTTTTTGAGTAGCTTCATACAGTTTTTGGTCAGAGGGTTGTGACGCAGATAGGGATGCAACTTTACAATGCAACATGCATGATTCTACTTTTTTTTTAATGGTCTGCTTAGGAGCACAGACAAACACTCTCCTTTTGCTTTTTTACAGATTCCAGCTCTTTCCTCACACTGTTGAACTGTGTTACCAGAACTCATTGCTGCACACCAGTGAAGAGTTGGTCATGGTTGTGGTGGGACCCCTAACCTTGAATGCAGGGCTGCTTCTTATGGTCCTGATCAGATGGGGCTGTCAGCAGCTGTTTGACTCATTCCCTTCCTTCTTGTCAAAGTTTATCATAGCAATGGGACTATGGACAGTGTTAGACCCCTTGGCAGTGTTAGTAGTGGATTCATTCCTGGGGGTGAGTCACTTAAAATAACTTGAACATGAGAATTTGATGTAGAAGTTTGTTTTATTCAATGAATCACTGAAAGATATGAAATTCCACCCCTGGCAATGGAACATGAAAGTTAAAAAGAAATTAAATAATATTGTTATACATTACCTTTTTATTAACAAAATTCCCATCTAATGGAGTCACTGTGTTTCTACGTAAAACTAAGAGCACTGTATAAGCCATATACGGAGATAAGAAAGTAAATTCACTGCTGAAGTGATTGCATCTACTTTGAAAAGGATTGCTGCAATTTTAGATGTTAATGGAGATGGGTTAATGAGCAACCCTGATTATTAACACTTCAGATTTTTCTAAGCACTGAAACAGACAAAATGAAAAAAATGGAGGTTATCGTGCACTTCTCTGACATGCAATATAGTTAATATAATTTGCTGGCACTCCTAAAAAGACTTGTGAGATTGAAAGATAAACATCTTTAAGAAGAGAGCTTCGTCATATATAAAATCAGTAGAGCAAAGCTCTCAACTCTATGTATGTGCTGTGTAGCCCAACAGTACTTTGGTGACTGCCAACTTTTATCACATCCAAGGTAAATGCCTAGTCTCCCAGAAGATGCAGTTCAAATTTGGGTCTCACTGTGTATGTGATACAGGGTCCTTTTGATGGGTGTGGGATTCTGAGAGCTTTTCTGGGGGTGTGGTATTGCTCGCCTTCTGCCCTTGTTGGTCTTTCAAAGTCATCTATGTTTCTGTTGCTTACTCTAGATCAAGCAGTAACCCACAGGCCTTGTTGGGGATCAGGTTTTCTCAAATCTCTTGGTTCCTCATCTGCTAACCTGTGCTCTGCAGGTGCTTTTTACTCTTTACATTGCAATGGTTTTGAAAATTAAAATTCAGCTCTTCAATAAATTTAATTGGAACTCACTTGAGAGGTAATTGCAATAGTTTGAACATGTGGCAACACACTCTAGTTTTCATTTGGACAGCCTGTATTTATTTATTTATGTATTTATTTTTAAATTTTGTGCTATAAAACATGCACAGAATTGAATTTTAATTGTAATTACTCTGATTGAGATACGTTTTTCCTAAGAGAAAAAGAGGTATTCCTGCAATAACCGGGCTAGAAATATCGAAATGCTTAAAAGGCTTTTTTCTTTGTTCTAATGCTGATGTATTCATAAAAACTGGAAGAAAGGCTGAGGTCTGCCTTATCTTTCCCACATTTGCATTGAGAAAATTGTTGCCATTGACTTCAGTGGAATTGTGCTTAGTTCTACACAAACAGGATCATTACCAATTTCAAATAGCACTTGGTCAGGAGGAAACACGAGATACAAATAAAGTAACTTGTTTTTTCATTACAATGTTAAAAAAATACACACCTCTCTGTACTTCATACTGAAAACTTGGCAGTCTTACCACCAAGATTATCTTTGGTAGGAACTCATTTGTCCAAATATTACACAATATACTGTGTGTATCCTTTCCAAATGAAACTATATCTCTTACATGTGTTTTCATTATTGCATTTGTAATTTTTTTTCTCCTGGCATTCTTTCAGCAGCTATTTCAGATTTACTTGCCAATCTATTTTAGATCAAACCTTTTTAAAATATTATGTTATGGTAATATGAGTTATTTTAGTGCTAGAATGTATTTTAGTATCCTAAATGACCTTAATGCTTGTGAAAGATGACAGATAGCCCTGGAGACAAAAGTTTTTGTGTTTACTAAGTAATGGTTTTTTATTGCCAAGGAAAGGCTAGAGGGCAGTTGCATTGGTGGGGGGGATGGGTGTCAAGTAATAGTCCAAAATACTGTGTCAAATGTGTGATTTCAGGTTTGATTTATTGTAGGCTTGTAGAAGTATGTTCCAGGGATAAGAAACTCTTATGCAGTTCAAGTTCCAGTTCTGCCAGAGCTTTCCTGGGACCCCACTCACTTCATTTGTCTATAGCTTCTAAAAAGCAGACAGTAACACCTCTTTGGCCACATGGATACGTGTCATTGTAAAAACCAGTAGACATTGCAAAAGGCTCACGTGACCATCCCTCAGTGATATGATAAGTACTTGAGAGAGACGTTGACAAATGTTATTTAAGTAATTTGAATTAAAGACACCTTTCTTGGATCATGTCTTTGAGGATCACAGAAGGTATACAGATTGGCAGAATATCTTTTTTAGAAAAAAAGGATAGAAAAGTGCAGTTCTCCCATGCCATCTTTGCCTTGCCAGATAGAACTGCTTAGATAAGAAAGAAATTTATTCTTATTTACCATTCAGACTTTTGCCTCTCTGAAGGAATGTCAGGACGTGACTGCTGTGCAGAGGATTTTTCTTGGTAGACAGTTTCTTGTGGTTTTTGGGTTTGGGGTTTATTTGGGTTTTTTTCTCCCAGAATAGAAGATATAACTGAGAGATAGAACAGAACCAGAGTATTTTAATATTTTTGTTACCAATATGGACAGTTCTGAATTAGTGACTAGTCTTTATGTGTCGTGACTGGTGTCCTGGGACCTTTAATTTCCATTATAGAAACCTAGCAGTGTTGTAAAAGATGAAGAGAGAACAGAAATGTCCTCAAGAATCTCAGTCCTTTTATAGATCGTCATTGGACTTGTAGTTGTTGTTCCTTTACCGTGCATGTCACTGCATGCATAGGAGGTAGCCAAAAATGGGAAGAAAGTTTTGACATTTCCTAAGGATTAATTTGGCCAAGTTGCTCAGAAAGGTGCAGGTTTCTTGAAGCCTAAAGGTCACAGACTCTCTCTCTCAATGATGAACACTGGATGTTTTGGTGGTTCAGTTTCACATCCTTGCAAAATGTGTCAATATGATCTAATATGGGTATAGCTGTCACTGTGTCACTTTAAAAAGGAAAAAGTGAAGAGAGAAATTTATTTTAGCTCTGAGCAGTAGAAGATCCATGATATGTATTTAAATTCTTCTAAATTGATCCAGCAGAGGGCAACAATATGTCAATACAGAAGCTAGTTCTTAAGAACTAGATATGGGGGGGGGAGAAAAAAAGGAAAATAATAGATTTCTGGAGAAGAATACAAATCATTCTATATTATACCTACTTGGTCATAGAAATAAGGCAAATTTCAGCCTTCTTCCCTTTCCACTTTTCCTGACATACATTAGTAGAGTTCACTTTGAGTATTTTCACTGTTACACGGGTTTTGTTCAATAAGTCACCTCTATAGGGTAGATTTTAATTGTACTAAAATCCACCAGAAAATAATTTATTTCACATCTTATGGTTAATTTCAAATTCTGTATAGCAGAATCCTAAGTTTCAGACTGTGTTCCTTGCAAATTACACCTAAATTCTTCTTGTAAATAAATTCAGGTTCTTTTGCCTCTATGGTCTAATCAGGTTCAATATTTTCTTACATTGATTTTTTTCTCCATGACAGCGATTTGGGAACAGTGTAGACAAACCAATTGCTGATGCTGCAAAACTCTCCTGGGTCTTTCTAAGAGCTGAGGAGTCAGGGGTTCCTGGTGCTTTAATCACTGTGATGCTTTATACAGTCCTGTTCATGATCTCATCGACAGTATTGTACCTGTATTTTTTAAGGTATGCCTCTTTATCTTATTATTTCCTTAGGAGCTTAGGCTCATGCCCCTTCTCCTGTTAGATAAAATAAGGTGACATAGGAAAAGACTTATCAGTGTCACACATCCAGAGCCCAGAACTGCAGATAATCAAGGAGGGGTTAGCTTCTGCTTAACTTTTAATGCACTGGGATTTGCTGGGCACTGCAAGTCAGAGATGGAGCCATTTACTTCCTCACCAGGAGCACAGCTGGTATCATGGTTTTTCATAGAGTCCAGGAGCCTCTGCTTGTCTGGCTTCAGGCAATGGTGTCTGTGTCAAGGGCTTAAGCTGCAAAGTGTGTGTACCTTTTATATAGGTATTTTAGAAGATGTTGTGTCTTATAAGCAGGGGTTTTGTGAGAAATAGGAAAAATTTCAGAAAGCTATGTATGATATGAAGTGCAAAAACCTCTGAGTTTGTAGTGGCTCTCAGAGCCTTGCAGCCTTTTGATGATACAGTATGTTTCACTTGATGTGACTGAGTCATCATGACATGACTTAATCCAAATAATTTTTCCATGAATTCAGCTCGTTTTCAATATTCAGTTCATCATGAAATTTGACCAACTACCTTTCTTACCACCTTCCTAGTAGACACAAATTAACTGTGCAGTCAATAGGGACAGGTGTGGGATGCTGAAAATTAATTAGATAGGATGTCTAATATATTGAATGAAAAAATGTTGGTTTTTTTTTTCTGAGTGGCTCATCTATAATGTAGTATGAATTTTGTACTGGCCCTCTATTCATCCAGTGATGAATGTTGGCAAGCACCAATAAAAAGCCATATGCAAAGGCAAGCTGCAGGCGGATGTAAGAATAGAAAAGCCCAGCATACACCCTCCATATGACAGAATCATCCCTCAGTCACCCTCTCACAGATTCTGCAGATTCTGCAGCAGTCAGGAAAAGATAAATGGCCATCTAAATTTCTGCAAAGTATTTCAAAGCTTCTGCATTCCTGGAAGCCGTACACAACTCCAATGTACTGGTAGTCTAGTTAATTAGTTTTTGGGATGTTAATGCCTTCTTAATCATTGACTTAATAGTTTTGAATAGCTTCATAAGTTTTAGCTGCTGTCGCTTATTACTCAGGAAAATTAATTTAAATTAAAACATTTGTAAGACAGGTTTTTATGAGAATATTACCAACATCTTCATTGTCTGGGGAACAGGTGCAAGATCATCAAAAGTACCTTTCCTTCTGGATCAATTTTCCCATAATGTTTTCCAATAAAGGGGTGGGGGAATAATGTTACTAAGGGAAAAAAAAGTTGTCTTAGCACAACACATTTCAAAAATGATTCATTGCAAAATACAAAAGCAAAGGGAAAATAACAAAATGTGTTACAGTGCATAAGGTCTTTGAAGTTCTTTGCTTGATAACAAAAGGAGACATTTTGAATACTGGAGTCTCTACAGAGTAAAATTATACTATGATCTTCTGCAATTGGATCAACTTTCTCTTCCTTTTGTGTCTACAACCCAACACAGTGGGAACCTTGGACATAGCTAGCACACTGTCAGTCCAACAATGATAGCATTAAAACTTTGAAAAAATGTTTTTAAGGATAATATCTCTGTAATTCATAATACTGTTTCCTGAATATTGATATAATAGCACTTGTTTTCAAGAGAAAATAGTGCTATAACTAAGGTAGTAGCATCCCTTTGTGTGAGTGTTTCTCAGATGTTATATCTAAAATATATTCAAATGTAACGTTGCTCAGCTCAGAAAACATGTTTTTAAACAGACATCCACCTTACTTTTTGCTTGTAAAGTAAACCAATATAAATATTGAGGGATATCTTCTGCCTTAAGAGCCCAATCCACAGAGATTGGATCCAACTTTGGCTGTTGAATGGAGGAGTTGGTGCCATTTTTTAGAATTACTCAGCAGTTTGGCATTAAACTGAAGTGTTTGACAGTGTGAACCCACAAGACCACCAAAGAAAGCAGGGGATGTGTCTGTTTCTGCCACAGCTAAAAAGCTTCATGGCAGCACTGATGAACAAGCAGGAAGCAAATGAAATCATGGGCAGGGGATAAGCAGCAGTAGACATCTATTTGCATCTTTATAAACCAAAATACCTCAAAAAGTCTGGCTCCCCTTGGGTGTCTTGGGAGTCTGTAGTACATCTAGCATGGAGAGATATTCTAATTACTTTTTGGAAAAATGAAGTGGCATTGGTTGCAATTCCTTCAATTTAATTCCTCTAGACATTAGAAACAGACAGGAATTTGTTGGTGAAATGTTTTCTGCACTGTGAGAAAACGCAGACCCCTCTCAACTAAAAGTGTCTGCTGAAAGTGTCTGAATTTCCTGGTACTGAAACATTATTCAGGGAAAAGCTTCAAAAATCTACATTTTTCAGTGTTAACAACAAAACTGTTTTTGTATTTTTTAACAGTGGTTTTCCAAAAAAGGATGAGAAAGGCTCAAGTGAAGATGTAATAAATTATTTTAAACCACTAAAATTACCCTTCAATTTTTGGTTTGTGTAATTCTTTGAGAAGCCCGTTTTTTTGACTGACTCTGGATAGCAAATCATTTCAAGGTTTTCTGTTCTTTCTGAGAGATAAATAAATGAACTTGTAGAGTATTATACCGATTCTCATATGTCTATAAAACGTAATTTGAGTTTTGGTTTTTTATTGTATTAACAATAGAAATAACTATTTTATATTTATAACAACCCATGTTAAGGTACAAAAGGTGTTTTATTATTTTCATGTTGAAGAAAAGAGATTAAAGCAGGTAACAGGAGCAGGCTGAGTCCTTTGAACAAAAGGAAATAATTTAGAAGACAGCCTTCATGATTCTTAATTAATTCAAAGTTAATTATATTGTTTATAACCATGTGCTTAAAATCTTCATATAGAAAATGTTTATGGCAGCAAATAGACAGTAATTTAACTGCTTTAAATTTTACTGAATTTGAAATAAGAATGTTACATTAAGTGAGCTTAAATAAATGGCAAGGTCTTTCTCTTGTTTAGCAAGATAAGCGACAAATCATTTAACTTGCTGACCTGGAATTTCAAATATGAACACCATGGAATTATATTGCTTTAACATGAGCAGAAGGTCAGAAAGCCCACCAGCTTGACTGCTAGTTTTTTAACTAAGTACCAGATAATTCTAAATCACTAGTCAATTCTTCCAAAAAAGTATCTATTGTATGAAAAGATCATCTGATGTAGATCCAGAGACTAAGAGAAAAACTTTTCTTTGAAGACACCATGGAATATACTAAATTACTCTGTGAAGGATATTAGTTATTTATAAAACATAATTTCTACTTTAGCGTGGTTTAAGTTACTCTAGTATCCTGCTTTACCTTAGCACCGATTTGCATTTCACACTTTAAAGCATTTTCTATTATTTCTTGTAGCCAGTTTGTTTATATTCCCAGGACTATCTACCTCTTGATTAGGTTTTCTTCCAGCTGCTCTCCCCTTTATAAGAGAATCCCAAAATGACATCTTGGAAGCTACAGCAAATTTAGGGCTACAAAAAAGAATGTTTCAAATAAAAGAAAGGCGGGGAAAAAAGTACAGAGAATACCTTTCCATCAAAGCATGAGATATAAATTCCTAATCTGACATTGAGCCAGGCTGCCAGATTTCGGTATCAGAATAGCTACTCTCTCACAGAAACTCTTGGATATAGAGTTTGACCCTAAGGTACACATTCCCCTTTGAAGAGAGTGCTAAAGCTCCTCATGAGATCAAGATGAAAAAATGTCTCTTGGTGCATCTCCCTATTTCTGTTCCACACCAAATCTCAGTTGTGGGTAAAAGTGTACCAAGCAGCTTATTGAGTGTGTTTCTCTACACTTACTGTGAGCACTGTAAAGCGTGATGTAGAACTGGTGTAAATGTGAAGTTCATTCTGATTTATTTGAACAACCCTCTGCCTCTCCCATCTGGACACATTGTTCAGCACATACAGGCCAATACAAGACCCAAGGATAAGGACCAGTCACAAGAACTGGCACAAGTGCTGCTACACACGAGAAGGATGAGAGTACAGAAGGTCAAAGGGGTTATGCCTGTGCTATGCCTCCAACCTGCCACGAAATGAAGGACCTGTACAGCCCCACTGAAGTCCAGGCATTTTGCTGGTTGTAGAGCCAAACAGCAATCCATGCACTTCACATGATTACCCAGCCAGTCTCTGAGGACAAAAAGGTTGAAATTAGCACCAAGCAACGGCTGAATTGTAGTGAAATATTAGTTTGGAAGAGGGTACAAAAGGAAAGATTCCATCTAATATCCAAAACTGAGATTCCATATTTCCTGATTTTTATTTTCTGAACCCCTGTTTTGGAATAAAAGTAGAATGAAATACGATGAATTGAAGAGGTTTGATTTGAATCCAACAGCAATTTTTTGAAGTTTTAAAGTTTATCTTAGGCTAAAAATGTGACACCAGACTTTTCCAAAAGCCTCACAATATTTCTTGGTTTCACCTATATTAGGAAATACCACACAGTAAGCCTTTATTGTGGTAGAAAGTTTTACTGTGTAGTGCTTAGTCAATTCCTTACCACAGCACAGAAATGTCATAGAAAAACAAAGCCAGCAAATGAAATGAACTTTTCTAACTTCAAGCAAAGTTTAGATTGTGTAGAGTCCAGGCTTGGGTTTGAAAATAATGGTGAGTTGTTCCTTTCTATATGATGTGGTTTGCCCATTACTGAGCCCTGGCACACCAGGACTTCCATTTATGCCTAACTATGGTACTGGAATAGTTACCCAGCCCAACGCTAAGGACAGACATTAGACATTCTGAAGGAAAGTTAGATCAGGATCTTTTTGGGAAGTCAATATTTTTAAATAGTTAAAATAAATTGCTACTACATTGATGTGATTTGATTTGGGTACTGTAAATCCTACAGAGGGCTGGGTAGGGCTGTATGTCAGAGAACTTGTTGGAAAGAAGCTTCTTCTTTTTAGTGCGTGTGAAGAGTCCTTTCAAAAATGAACCCACTGTGTCATTTCTATCCTTAGGCTACATAGCGAAGGTTGGCTGTTGGATGTATTTCGACGTATTCATGGTGAGGAAGGCACATTCTTTATTCCACTGGACTTAGAGATTTCCAGTCAGGAGCTGAGCTACATTATGAAGAGGGCTGAGCAGTGGAGAGGAATCAACGGTGAAAGACGGATGGTGAGTGGTGAACAGAGTCTGCAAAAGGAATCTGTGATCCAAATTAATGCTTTGTATTTCTGGGTGTTACTGAAGAGGACATAGATATTAGAAAATTATTCTTAGGATGCTTCATTGAAGGGAGAAGTTAAGAAGCATGTTCAGGAGAATTTTGTGATGTTGCATGTGCATTGCCTGAACATCATAAGGGGTTACAATCTGCTTAGTAACCAAAGGCTTAGAGGCATCACTGGTGTTAAAAATGATCTGTGCCATCTACTAGTTCTCGACTGGGTCATAGAGACCTACTACTTGTTTAAATGTCAGTATCATCCCAGATAATTTCCCTGCCAGCTCAGCAAACTGAGGAATTCCATGAACAAGTAGAATTCACTCTTTAAAAGGGCATAGGTGGGGCTGCCCTGAGAAAGGGGTGTGAGTTTGGTCAGTCAGAAATGATAGCTATGCTCTGCTTTCTGGCCCTTTCCTTTCAGGATTGCCCAGAGGAGTAGGGTAAGTTGGAAATGTGCAGGGGAAGGTGCGTTACTTTGGTTATCAAAAATAACTCTTTCTTTTCCATTAAGCCACTAGTGTCTAGTCTCAAGTACAGACCTAAGGCTGTGATGTATAGGAGATTAATTTGTGTTTACAAAGTGTCCAGTGGTGGTGGTGCCATCCACAGATGAGGCTTCTGAGCATAATTGCTTTCAGAGGATTGAAAATAGAAGAAATAACATGGTCAGCAGTCTGTGAGGCACACTGTCTTCCTTCTGTGAGGGACTTCTTCTTCCTTGCTTTCTAGCTTTGCGTCAGTGTTATTAATTCCCATGGGACTATTTTATAAACCAGCTTTTAGTCAATTGTTAAAGTGCTCATCAGTTTGATTTATACATTTATGAATACCTCTGAATACAATGCTTTGTTTGGTAACTCTCCTGCTTCAATGTAAAAATGAACAGATTCCATATAGGAAGGAAATTAGTCCTCTTAAGTACGTATGAGTTGTTTTGTTTTTCTTTTCTAACCCCCTGGGACAAGGACTTCAGATAAGGGTCTGCAGGTTTTTCAAGTCTCCATAGCTAGCTCTGAAAGATCAGCATTTTATAAATATATAGCCTCAGTTGTCACTATTATAAACATCTGCCACAGCTGTAATTATTTTCCACTTTTTTTTCATGATGACAGTTTGTACCCTGAAAGGAAAAACTGAATGAAAAAGCAGATAGTCAGTAAACTTAATTTTTGTGGAAAAGTACAGAGCAGAACATGGTGTTTCAACAGAGGGGAGGGAAAAAGTTGGAAGGAGTGAATGTGTTTCCGCAGCCACCTGCCTCCGCGATTCCCACTTTTTATGCAGAAATCTTTCTACAGTAAGTCAAAGCATGACCAATGATGATTGGTTTCGATTACCTTTGTTACAAGGTTAAACAAAGAATACATATAGTGGACCTCATTTTACATGTCAGGAGGAGGTTTAGGTAAGATATTAGAAAAAGGTTCATCACCCAGAGGGTGGTTGGGCACTGGAACAGGCTTCCCAGAGAAGTGGTAACAGCACCAAACCTGACAGAGTTCAAGAAGCATTTGAACTACTTATACCATATGGAAAAAGGGGCAGATAAGGCAACTGCAAACAACTGTATTTCTGTTTTGAGTACTGAATAAATTTCTAATGTTATTACCAGTGCATCATTTCTTGCAGCAGTGCTGAAAGGGCTGAATAAGAGAAAAAAAAGGAAAAAGAAAAAAAGAAGGGCAGGTGGAAAGGAGAGGTTGAGGATAAAGACTTACATAAAAGAATGGAAAGAAAAATTTCTGTTCTGTATACAAATAGTGTGTCTCTGCATGAAGGAAATACGGACTGTCCACTGCTACAGTAACACGTACTTCAAGGGCCAGAACACTGAAAAACATGACCCACAGCTATAGAAGCATGTAAGGGCCTAGTTTTGCTCCCAGTGTGCAACCTGGCATGCATGAAATGCCACACTGAAATGCGTCTACCTGACCTTAGTCTGAGATCCTTTAAAATGGACCAAGTCTCAGCTGAATCCAGCAGCACGGAGGGTGCAGTCAGAGCTGAGGGAAGAATCCCAGTGCTGTGTAGGCAGCAGTGCACATTTCATTCAACAAAGCAAAGTCAAGCACAATTTTGTCTTTACTGAATCCCTAAGTTTCTATTCTGTCTACATCTGCATGGATTTCTTGTCCTTTCTTTTATATCAATCCTAATCAAATGCCAGGCTGGGGCAACATTAAACATTCCTGTTCTCTATGGGACATATTGACGCAGTCTATATAATAAAAGAAGGTATGAACAATGTGGAAAGAGTGCAGAAATTTGCATCACTTATATCAGCAGGATCTCTACCATCTACTGCAGTGGCACAGGATCTGCCTCACACATAGGGGAAATTTGCGAGAGGAGACTGTGGTCCAAAACTCCAGAGTTATCTGTACGACACACAAATACTGTGAAAAAAGAATCAATGTTCTTCAGAAACCTGAAATCTTCCCCTTCTGCTCTTTTTTTTGGTTGCTGTTGTTTATATTATTTTGATGGAAAAGAGAATCATCAAACGAAGTTTGGTAGCTCTTTAGTAAATCTAGTTTTGTAATAAAGACTTTCTCCATTGTAGAAATGTGTTCTCCATATGGAACATCTCCCTGCAAGACTGGGAAGTATATGTACAGGTCTTTTATGCTCCTAGGCATTGCAGATACTGAAAGACCCTTTTTTTTCAGCCATAGATTTGCATAAGGTATTTGTCTTGTCCCTCTCTTTTTGTATGTCTAATTGTACAAGGTAATCAGTATGGAAGACACATCACTAGCCCTTATTGCGTGCATTATTAATGTGCTAATTTTTAAATAAGATACGAAATTAACTGTGAATAATTTTTATAAAGGGAAGCATGAGACTGCCATATCTTACATCACTCCATATAAAGAATATATTTTAAATGGAGGTCATTCAAGTAAATAGTCAGTCAAACCTTCTGGAAAAAAATAGGTCTACGTTTTTGCAATATTTTCTTGCTATTAACCACATGCTTCCCATTTTTATTCCCTGGATTAAAAATTGCCCCATAAATGGGTATTTTATAATATGCTTAATTTCCTTTTATTAAATTGATAAATGCAGCAGCAGAGGACACATTTACAATATGATGAGAATTTAAGGTTATTGCATTTTATAATTTTTATATTGTTCAGAGAAGTGATTTGTCATTTGTGGAATGACATCCATGCCATCATTTCAAGGTATTTTTAGTCATTCTTTTGATAGGAAAAAGGTCACTTTCTGTAGACCAGGAAGACATCAGTCTATTAAACTAATTTGCCTACATGCAAATTTTGTCATTTTTACCTCATTAACTATTTATCATAGAGTAAAAAAAAATATATATTCATGAAGGGGCAGCTAACAGCCTGATGGAGCTGGAACTAATATTTTGCAACTCTAATGATTTTTTGCATCCTTAATTAGATAGCATAAGGTTGATACGATTAGGTCAGGATGTAGTGTTTTTCATTAAAATACATTTTAGAAGCTGTATTCATAATCTGCCCTTGCAATTAAATAATGAGCCTATGAGTTTAATATTATCGACCCAATTATTATCCCATGGAAAAGTATACTGTTAATAAATTTGTGCCGTAGGACCTTCATTAGCAACAAAACGAATTATATTTCCAGGTACACAGATTACATGGCCACAATCACATTTACGTAGTGGTTTGGAAGGCACTGTGGGGAGAGGGCCACCAAAGCCCTGTACCATACAGAAATGGACGTGATTTTTTTCGAAGAAGTCATTTACAATGCCTTTAATGAGGAAAGCTGCAAAGAAGTAAAAATACCACCTACAAAGGCAGACAGAAATGTTTATGGAAACAAACATTTGCAGAAACAGTGCACCTCTGTGCACCTCTGCTAGGAGGGAGCCTGGACCTCCATTCCTCAACCTATGGAGGCAGAGCTGAATATTTACTGATCTTTTATTAGAGATGGTCACATGTTAAATGTGTGCCAAATTGTAGAATTGATAAAATCAGGACCAGTGGCAGACAGGAATACATTAACTTGCCATTGATAGCAGATCAGTGACGAGGTTAGGAATCTGCATTTTAGCAAGCCTTTTTCTTTTTGTAGGAGTGATAAAATGACAATGTCTTGCTGTCCTCACTAAGTAATCAGTTTTCCAAAGTTAAGTAACAGTTCAGAGACAAGGCATGAAGCGGGATTTTCTTTTTGTCTAAACAAATAAGAGTGTTTTAAAAAAAAATATTTCTAGTAAAACAGCTGAGCAGGAATGGTCTTCTGAGGGGGATCTATTCTGGCTGGATTGGTTGTTAAGTGTGCAGAGAACATCACCTTCCTCATGTTTAAAACCTCTGAACTCTTTGTGTGGTGAATTGCTATTAGCAGGAATAAAAAGGAAAAAAATCTAGCCTTTAGAGATTTTTACTGGATTTAGTCCTCCAGGTACCATCCCTACTTGCAGAGGTACTTTTTACATAATAATGCTAACGATGAGTAAAAGTTGTGCAAGTAGTAAGCTAAACCAACACAGTTAGTATACCAAGCATAGGCCCAAAATGGTGGCACATAAGGAGGGTTTCTGAAAAAAAATGCAAGGTCTGTAGGCAGGAAGATAATGTGAAACTTGCACTTGAAATAAAGCCTGATGCACTGCAAAATTATTTTAATGAGACTAGGGCTAATTTTCTAATTTTAAAATGATATTATAGCAAACCATAAAAAATTACCCGGCAGTAGACTTTTGAAAGGAAAATATATTTGTAATTATCTTGAACACACAAGATTACTTCAGGGCCTATTATCGACACAATTTTTGGTACCACTTTACACTAATTTGCATTTATTACTCTCAGGCCAACTATTAATATGTTAATAAATAAGTCATTAATACTTGTTATTTAATTGCTATCTATTTATTCCTGTTCAATAATGCATTAATTACTTGTGAATAGTTGAGGGCAAAATCCTGCCCTTG